TAATGGTAGGCCTTTCAAAGAGCATGTGTCTAGTATGTTCTCAACTTTTTGCTTCCTCGTTCAATTTAATTCACTTCATATTTAACATAATTCAATGAAATCCGAAGTTAGTTCTAAACCCTTCCCTACCTCTAATTCTTATGTGCTAATTTTAAGCACGGAAACCTATGCAGTAGTAATGGCCACATTAATGTGCAACTTACCTTGTTTTGAGGTCACATTCTTCTTCTTTACACAAATTTTATTGTTACTATCACATGAAAGTCAAATATGTTATTTTGTATTTTTGTTGTATGTGTAAAAGAAAAAACGTTACTTTTGAAAACTTACAAACCATGATCAAAGATGAACACGGGCAAATAGCACGAGAAGTCATGCAGCCTCACCCTCATCTTCAAGATGACTAAAAGAGGAAAATGTAGAGCATCAGAAAAGAATGAGTGGAGTGTATTGAAACTTATCTCGGATTCTAGAGAGGTCAAACCCCTCATGTGAGAAGAACAACTTGATCGAATCCCCGAAAAGGAAAAAGTAACAATAGTGGAAGATGTAAGAGAAGAAAAATCTCATACTAAATGCTTATCAATGTTTAAAATTAATTTGTTTTGAGTTAATTATTAATATCAAAACACCCTATTAATTATTAACAAAAGTTCATATAGCAGAGTTAAATTGTTACACATATAAAACTACATACACTAAATTATTATAAACAAAATTACAATAACTAAAATATTATATACTAATTTAGACTAAATCATAGCTATGACAAAAGTATAGAGATCAAAAGCATTTTTTCAACTAAGATACAAATTTCTCCAAAAATAAAAAATAAAATAAAATTTTAGCGATCAAATAACACAACTACTCTTTATAATTAAATTTCGTCGACAAACGATTCCGGGAAGACCTCTCCATCCCTGCACAGAAACGGGACAGTTCAAGAGTGAAGAAAGGTACTTTTTTCGCCCTAAAAAGTCGCATATTGTACATGAAAACATAACAATAACATCAATGAATTGAACTAATAACGGAAATCAGAAGAAAAATAACTACAAAATTTGGGGTTTTAGTCCCAAATCAATGATAAAAGTAAGTGATATAAGCTTGAAACACATATAAATATTATAGTCTAAGTCAATGGAGACAATGGATAGCACTTAAAAAGGCACTGCAGAAAGCACTTCTATCCAAAACATCATCATAAAGATACACAAACTTTGTTTTTTATTCATCATAAAGAAACCACCACTTTCCTCTGCCTTCCCCATGATCACTTTAATCATAACTAGGACCATCTCAAACATGGACATGCCATTTACATATTTCCTGCCAATCCAAAAATAAATCCACCCAGAAAGGCACCTATCTTATTTCTGGTTTAAAACTCGATGGTTCAATCCATCATATGCAAGACCCATTATTCACCGACAAAAGCACCTATTTTACTTCTAGTTCTAAAGTCGATGATTCAATCTATAAACATATCCAAGAGCTATTATCTATATCTTCTCCACTAATATGCAACCAAAATCAGGGTCATTGAGGGTCTGGCAGGGGCATAAGAGTATCAGCTGAATTAACTTATTTTTTTGATCGCACTCTGACTAACTTACCAGAAGTATCTCCATCCAATAGACAAGAAAATCCTGCTGACATCTAAATCGAAATAGAAGTATTCATCTTAGGCTTTCCTACCTACTCATTTAGCTTCCAAAAATTGTAAGAGAACGGATTCCAACGGGAGTGGGAAGATAATAGAAGGCAAAATCAGGGCCATTGAGGATCTGGCATTATGAATCAGGAGTCCTTCAAATATGGAAGGTCATTGGAGTTCAAATCAGCAATACCCAATTCTAGAAATCAAAATTCTATCAACAAGTTTCATCTAGAAATGAAAATATGCTGAAACTTGTACTCATTCAGATATAGTTTGAGCATCTAACAAAGATAGAATATTTCCGTTTTAAGTTCTGATTGTCTGGCCGTCTATTTTGCATAAAAAACTTCTCTAGACGCTTTCCAGAATTGTGATCGAGTGACTTTAAAAGTTAAAGCCACCGACTGTAAATAACAAAGCAAAGCATAACTGGAAAAGCGATAGGAAAGTGAATCAGAGAAACTGCTTTAAGAGTAACAGTTGAGAATTTTTGTTCTTGAGAAACATAGAACAGTTCTAAAAACGAGCACCGTGAAATCTTCAAGCTGCTAGTTTGCCACTAAGGATAGAAGAAAATGGTGGAAATCATAAAACCCTTAACAGGAGATGAAATTTAAACATCACCCAAAAGGGAAATGGGTATGAAAATTCATTTTGATTTCAGAATCTTATGCTACTATCAGAGATCCACTCAGTTCAGATCAACACAGAATGGAATATATATGATCTCAGAAATTTCAGCTACATTCATCAATGGAAACGAACTGATCAACAAAACTATACTGGAGAATGATGATAACAATGCAAATGAAACAGTCAAAACTATGTTATCAATACATTGTAAATGAGTGGTTTTATTATAAATTATTTTTTACAATTATTGACCAAATGGAGCCACTAAGTATACTATCAACCGCAGATCAAACATTTTCAAGAACAAAAAGGAGAAATAAAGAGAAAAGAGAAAGCTAAAAGCACTTACGAATCCCCCTTCTTCAAGCTCAGAGCTCCATAAATCAGCCTCCCATGGACCTCAAGTCTTCTAATGCCGTCTTAATTTGTTCCTGAACCAACTCCAACCTCTTGGAATAAACCTCCAGTTCCAAAATCTGCTGCTTCCTCCACCTCTCATCCGCCATATCTCCTCCACCTCCAAAATTGATTGAAGCTCCACCGAAGCTCAATGGAATAGGATGCAAAGCCAATCCACTGAACCCTCTACCTCCACAGAGCCCTCCTCCCATGGAAGTGCTCGATAATTCCTTAAACAAAGGCGACAGGCAGCTCCTCACCGTCTCCTCGATCAATCCTGCTACCGCTACGTTACTGACATTTTCGCTGTTGTTGTTGTTGTTGATGTAGGTACTGTTTTTCTCTTTATTCAAATTTTCGTTGGACGAACGCGGCCCGTCCATTCTCAATCCCGATCCGGGCCGTGAACGCTTCCGGGATTTCGGAGTAGGCGTGGGTTTCTTCTCGGAGCAATTCAACGTCATCTCTTCGTTTTTAATGTCCATGTAGTTCGCATACGGAGGCGGAGCAGGCTCGTCATCGTCCAAAGCATTGTCTTCGACTCCAATTCGGCCTGTATTACTCCAGATCTTGCGAGAGATCTCAAACGTAGCCTGATCGTGAGGGCTTTTGAAATTGAACTCCTTACCAGAGCTAATCTTACCAATAACATTACGGTACTTCTTCTTCAACCTCCGAAGCTTCTCAACGAGCTGATTCTTGTTAAAATCCAACTGTAATTTCGACTTGATCTGGTCATAGAACAACGCCGTATCATTCTGATGATGGTGAGTCGTACCTCGCTGCATCGTGTAATCCAAAAACCCCTGCAACAGCTCGATCTCATCCTCATCTGTCCAGAGGCGTTGAAACAACTTCCTGCACTCATCCAAGGGCTTCTTCTCACCCGGCAAGACCAAAGGCTCGGCCGCAGCGGTCCCGATGCGCTGACGGATCAGAACGGCAGAGGAGATGGAGACAATCGAAGGGGGAGGAACAATGGAGACCGGACGGACGGCAGTGCCGGGAGTGGCGATGGTAACGACGGGGGAAACAGAAGGAACAGCAACGGCGCCAGCAGAGGAAGTGGAAGGGGAAGGACCGTCGTTCAATTCCTCCTCCTCTTCGTCGTCGTCATCATCGTCGAGAGATTCTTCGTCGTCCTCGAGGTCTTCGTCGGGGAAAACGGCGTCGTTGCGAGGATCCATAGAGAGAGAGAGAGAGAGAGAAGAGAAAGAGCGTCACAGTTATGGTGGCGGAAAAGGAAAAGGAAAGGGAGGGTGGTTTGGTTTGGTTTTGTTGCGTGGGTTCGATGGAGTTGAAGCCCCGCCTAACCCTCTAACCCTCTAACCCTCTAACCCCATCACGCGCTTCTCTTGTTGCCTTTAAATTTACCTAACCCTTTTCAACTATCCAACGCATCAAACTTCTCCCTTTTTGTGGTTGACTACCATAAACAATAACTTAGCCCCCACTATATTTGCAAAAAAGACCCTCCCTTTATTTTATTTCTAAAAATGGCCCTTCTATAGTTTATAAATCTCTAACCCAACTATATTTGTAAAAATCACCCTTCTTTTTTCCGGTCGTATAAATTTCTACTACCACTAAATTTGCAAAAATGACCCTTGCTTTTTCAGGTTGGGTTAATTTATAAATTTCTAGTACCACTAAATTTAAAAAAATGACCCTTTCTTTTTCGGGTTGGGTTAATTTATAAACTTCTAGTACCACTAAATTTGCAAAAATGACCCTTGCTTTTCCCGGTTGGGTTAATTTAGAAGACTTCGTCTCTACTCAATTTTTGGATTTGGTTAATTTACAAATTTCTAACCCACTGAATTTCCAAAAACAACTGTAGTACTAATAGCTAAATTTTAATATATATTAACGGAAAATAATGACAATACATTTGAAATCAAATTGCTAAATTTTTTTTTTTTTTTTTTTGTTATAGTATTGTTATTCTATTTGATTGAAAATATGGTTCCTTATTTTTTTTCTAAAAAAATTGAGTATATATTAAGGAAAAAAATAACTTGGACATGGGAATCTTGGAAACGCATAGGTCGATGCTTTTTGGCGTGATAAGATGTTCGGATACAAAATTATTGAAGGTGAAGGGAATGAATTATTCGTTCTCACGTTGAAAACATTGAAATGTACATTAAATAAGAATCTTATTCTCGTAGAAGCGTCATGAAGAAGCGTCCTCCACGATCAGTAATATTGAAATTTGAACTCGTAAAACACTATATTATATTTTTGTTTACAAAATATTATTAAATTTATTAGAATATTTTACGAAATTCAAAAGAAAAGGTTGGATACATGTAATAAAATACAGAATTTATAAAATAAAGTGAACCATTTCTTGAAGACGAAGATACAGAAGCTGTGTTAATTGAAAGTTAAAAGGAAAGCTACAACTGCATGATAGTTCCATGAATTTAGGATAAAGGATATATGAACAGTTGATAATTTATTTATTTTAACAGGAAGGGTGGATGATGATGCAGATTCAGTACAATTGAAATTTTGCCTTTGTTTTCTCAAACACTTGCTCAGCAATAACAGCACCATTCCCATCTGCTTTCTTGATTTCCAGGTGAGCCTTCTGATAAAACCCAGTCCCCCTTATGGCATCAGCTATGAAATCATCGAACCCGATCGCTATTGCAGCTTCTGCTTTCGCTCCGTACACCAATCTCTGTTTTTTTCCAGGTAAACGATAAGAAACTAGGAACACGAGCACAATGATTAACGACTAATTCCAATCACAAACCTTAATTCTTGAAAGATGGATGGCACCGAAGCACATTGGACATGGCTCGCACGATGCATAGATCTCACAGTCTGAAAGTTCGATTTGGCCGAGTTTTTTGCAGGCCTATAGAAGAGGAAAGTCGTCATGAATTGCGTTAAATCAACAGCTCACAAGGAGATATATTTGCAGATTGCAGTTCGAATATATAACGAATAACATATGTCAATGAGAAAAGTAGATCAAAGCTTTTGGAAAGGAAAACGGACACAAAAACATAAGGATATTGTGGCCTCATAAGTTCTATGAGATCCCACATCGGTGGGAGAGGAGAATGAAGCTCGTTGGGCCCCATAGGGAGGTGGATTGTGAGATCTCACATCGGTTGAAAAAGAGAACAAAGCATTCTTTACAAGGGTGTGGAAACCTCTCCCTAGCATAGGCGTTTTAAAAACCTTGAAGGTATCTGCTAGTGGTAGACTTGGGCCGTTACAGTTCTATCGATCTTGGTACTCATATTATTCCATAATCAGGACTAACCAGACACATAATTTCATGATCAAATGACTTTTTCACTTTCAAGGTCAAGATCAACTTTTTTTATGCAAAGCACTTCAAGAAAACTAAGAATGATTTATACCGACCTCCCGAACTGCAGTGACTTCAGCATGTGCTGTAGGATCAGTGTTTCTCAAGACCATGTTGTGACAGCTCACAACTACTTCATCGTTATGAACAACAACTGCTCCGAAAGGGCCTCCATCTCCACACTCAACTCCTTTGTAAGCCTCTTCAACTGCTTGAGTCAAGAACTTGTAGTCTCTATCTTGTACAGCTAATTTAAACATGAAAACATCAATGGAATATTGTTAAAGCTTGGACAATTTGTTCATTTCGGCTTCGAATTAAATGATGAACAAAACAAATGCTCATAGCAAAGCAATGAATAGATTCCTATAGACAAAATCTCTCCCTAAACAGAATTTTACTTTCAGACAGGACGATTTTGAACTGAAGATCTCTCAAGTGAAACATATTACAATAGCAACAAAATAGATTACACCGAATCCATAAGAAATCATAAACCCATGAAGAAAAGGGATCAAAATTCTAGAACTTCACTGATCTAAAGGCCAGGGGAAGTTATATCAATTTGGACCAATCATCCAAGACAGACAAGAACAAGAACAATCTTGACAATTACATGTAGATATTAAGGGCCCTAAATGTAACAGAAAATTTAAATATGAGAAAAGGATCTATTCTCCCTTGAGTTTTGATGGGAAAAAGGCAAAAGGAAATATTAAATAAGAAATGTACAAATCAAAAACATGAAAACAAATTAATAAAAAAATGGAAAGCGAGTTGTTATGTTAGTACCTTCTTGATGACAAGCAAATGCAGATGCTACAGAGATAGTTCCATCTATGGCTTCCACCACTGAAAATAAGGAAGAAATACAAAATCAATAATACCACAGAATGAATCATGTTAATTGATCTTCCAGGCTAGAGAAAAAGAAAAATAAAACGAAATAACATACAGATTTAGAATCAGATGAACAACAAAAATAAAACGTAGAAATACGCAAAATTAGAAAAGAGTTCATAGTTGACCCGGGTCTGGAAATTCCAAAAGCAGAATAACGAACAATTAGGAAGCATCATCAACCACGTCTCCAATAACGAGCTAAAAATTCCAAATCCGGAGACGAAATTCATCCTAATTTCACAAATCAACACCAAAAAACTGTTCGATTTCAAACCTCTAAGATCAAACAACTCTCCCCGAAAAAAAACCCAAATCATGCAAACATAGAAATACCCTCCCGATGCGGAATCAATGACATCATGCAAAATCAGGACAAAGAATCCAGAGAGATCGGAGAAGAAAAAAAACACAAAACAACATGGATTCCAGAACAGGTAATTAAAATAAAGAATCATCCGATCCGAATTCACATTGGGCGAAAGGGGAATGCGGGGAATGATCGGAAAGAAGGAGACGGAGAATGAGGCGATTACCAGTAGAAGAATCAGCCATGATGAGGATAGGGATTTAGGGATGGGGATCGAGAGAGGAAGAAGTGCAGAAGAGAAGCAAGAAATGGAGGTGTATAAATAATGTTGGGAGACAATGAATGAAGAACTGGAAGAAGAGAGCAGCAGAAGAGAGAGAAATAGAAAAGAAAATAAAGAATATGAAACTGAAGGATAAAAGTCGCCCAACGCGCCTTTTTTTTTTTTTTTTTTTTTTTT